AGTGACGGAGGCAATTCCGTCTTTTAACCAAAAACCCACTTCAAAATATTTACGATTATGCCACTGAGCTTCATTTGATCCTATCTCTCTCGTTACGACTCCGATTCGAGCCCACTACGTGTCTACGGACTCATCTCACCGTGCTCTACGCAACGGTACAACCGGAATTCCCAAATTCCTTCCGGATAAGAAAATGACTAAAATACCCCTATCCCACGGGTAATTTCTCAATTCCACTTAAATAAGTTAAAACATGGGATAAATTTGGGGTCGGGGTGTTACATAGGGAGAGGTCTGCGCACCTTTACCAACAAAATTTCTTCGGGAGAGGTTGTCTTGCTTTTTTTTTTCTTTTTCTTTTTTTATAAATAAAAATAACAATATATTTTTCAATATAAAATTAGTTTCTTTACTTTTGTTTTTAGCCAACTTCTTTAATTTAATACATGTAATTAGGTAATACCTTAGCCTTTTTTTTTAATTACCTTAATTAGTAATTATGTTTTAATTATTATTTATTTAGTGAATATTTAAGTATTTTACTGATTTTAGTAAATTACTTGGTAAATAGTAATGAATTGTTTTGAATTATTTTGTGGACTTTGTTTTTTGTTCTTTGATATTGAATAATCATTAAAAATACGTGTGTACTTTGTACAATATGTGCATTATACGTTTTCCTTCATTATAACGTGTCTTTAAGACGTATAAGAAAAACGGAAGTATTATTGAAAAATATGTACGTACGTGTATAGTACAAGTATTAAATGGGAAAATTCTAAATTCTTTATACGGATAATAACTTTGGGAAAGTAAAAAATCAAAAGGGGACGATACCTATACCTTGGTAATGGCCTAAACGTAATGGATACTGCTCCAGACTAGTCTTATCAACAAAGGAAAATCATGGAGGAAAAATTATTTAAACAGTATAGCCGCGCGGCTATACTCTACAAGTTGGATATTTTGAAGGTACAGCCGCCCGGCTATACTCTGTATATTCTTTAAGACATATACGAAAAATGGAAGTATTATTGAAAAATATGTACGTACGTGTATAGTATGAGTATTAAATGGGGAAATGCTAAATTCTTTAAACTCTGGAAAAGTAAAAAATCAAAAGGGGATGATAACTATACCTTGGTAATGGCCTAAACGTAATGGATACTGCTCCAGACTAGTCTTATCGACAAAGGAAAATCATGGAGGAAAAAATTTTAAAACGAAAAGGCACCCGTTATATATTTCGTCGGGGATTAGGTTTTCCCCAACAAAATTTCGTCGGCAAAGGTTGTCATGACCCCAAGATCCCTAAGGCCCAAGGCCCTAGTCTTGATCAATTAAATATTATTAATCCAGCAAGTCAATCATATATACTCTTCACTACCAAGCCCATCAGACCACCAATCTTATTTTATTTGTGTTAAGGTTTCATGCTTACAAAGCATTTACAACCTTTTGTTTCCTCCAATGTGGGAGATTTGCTTTCAAACTTACACCACCATTTTCTGCAATTTACTTACTGTTCCATTTGTTACCTTCCACGTACGTTTGAATTGTATTTGTCAAAACAAACAATGGCTTTCTATTTACAAGCACTTCGCTATCGTGCGGATCAAAAGTTGTATCATCTTCAGGTTGGTTCTGTTATTATCTTCTCGTCTTTTAGTCTTATTTGTATATTTTGATCGTGAGCTACCTGCACTAACTCATAATTGTTTCCTTTTCATCATGGTTTTAATGCTTTTCTTACTCACACTAATTCATTGTTAAATTGAAAAATGGGGCATTGCCATAAGAAGTACTGCATCGATGAATATCCAACCGGCACAAATGCAGTCGTTGCTGTATTGTCATCTACTGGGTGAGAAACTTTGAGACGAAAAAAACTTATATATATAGTTGTTTGTTTTGATTTGTAGCATCATATGAAATCTAGGTATGATATGGAGGATGCCATGATTCTGAACAAGTCATCTGTGGAGAGTGGAATGTTTCATGGACAAATATATCAGGTTTCTTCTTGCAATGTTGCACTGCACTACTATAAATAGCTTTTTTTAAACTTTTTTATTCATCTTTTAGGTCTATTTTAGATGGCACTGTGAACATTCATGTTCCCAAACGTATCGTTCATTTGCTCTGCTTTTTATTAATTTTTCACTGGTGCTTCTTTAGCTCACCAAATGATGGGTTTTGCAGACAGAAACAGTTCACTTGTCTATCAAAAGAGCAGGTCAGATGGTTCTCAGAAATATTTCAGGGAAAGTAACATTGAGAGGCATCGTTCAATTGATTCAGATGGGCTTCCTTGTGTTGGTCAGGTTAGCATTCATGTTCTGGAATTTTATTTTCTGGTCTATATTGTCTTGTTCTGTATTGTGTTCAACCCATATAGTTGGGATCACGGTAACTGGAAATGATGGTCTGAGTAAATTCACAAAGAAATGTATAAATGTACATGCACAGAGAGAAAATTTGATTGATGGAATCACGCAAATGTGGGATGTGAGAGGCTGGCTACACGGCCATGTTTTTCCGATCGTCTAGCCTCTCACATCCTGCACTGCTGGCCCTCTGACTCTATTCTGTGCTAAATTTCAGACAATAAAACCAGATGAAGAATATTATAGCATCTATAATGAGGTAAATTAATGAGCAACATGCCGTCAAACAAAAAGGTTCAGAGGATGTTATCGTTGACTATGTTACAATAGATGGGAAGAAGCATCTTCAGAATCATCAGCAGAAGGTAAGTGGACAACCCAATTGGAATATTAAGCTACTTGATGTGTCATTGTCCAGTGTTTACATCTATATCCAAGAATTCTTTATCCCATAATTTATATTTTACATAATAGCATATGTTTTTACTGTCTGCTTTTCCTTTGTTATGCCCTTTTTGTGTTGCAGGGTTTCATTTCCTGTGTTAAATTCTTTTCTTTTGAGCAGGTGAACATACGCTTTTGACACCCTAGAAACCCTGTCATTGGTGATAAGTTTAGCAGCCGACATGGACAAAAAGGTGTTTGCTCCCAGTTGTGGCCTGATATTGATATGCCATTTTCTGAGGTTACGGGAATGCGTCCAGATCTTATCATCAATACACATGCATTTCCTTCAAGGATCGCAATAGGAATGCTCTTGGAATCAATTGCTGCAAAGGTACTAGCACCTAAAGAATTTTCCTTTTATGATTTGTTAACAGTCTATTGACAAAAAGAAATGCATTGCTGGTGCTCCCCCCGTAGACAAAGTACAGATGTTTATGTTCTGTAGTGCCCTGAACTGTTGTATTGCAGCAGTAATAAAGTGATGGAAGACTAATTTGTGCAATGGTTGGGGAAAATGTGAGAGTTTATTAGGATTTGGAAATGTTCAAATAGGACTTTAGGCGAATAAATCTCGATTGCCATCGAGTTGCTGGAAAGGGAAATTCAGATAACAGGATTTTTGGGAAGTTTCTGGAAAATAAAAGTTAACTATTAGTTGCTGCTCTTGGGTTATAGAGTTAAGTTTTAATTACTGGATGAACATAAATACTAGGACATAAATTTGCATTTTGATAAAGTATTGCACAGCGGAGTCCATTGAACTTCTTGAAATAATAGTTTGTGCATCATATTTAACAATGAAAAGAAAACAATCAAAGATGCTTCCTTGTTTTTTTGTCACAAGGAGGTAGCTTGCTTGGAGAATATGTTGACCGTTTGCTAATTCAAAGAAGGCTAATGAAAACACAAACCAAAATCCAAAACCCTTGTTGATGAACTTGGTGAAATGTTAAAGGGTTTAACTAATACGGTTTAGAGGTGTTGTACAGTGGGCTTTATGGAACCGAACTGACATGTGAGATCTTTATTGGTCCTGTTTATTATCAACGACTACAACATATGGTTTCAGACAAGTTTAAGATTTTCTCAGTATAATTTTGCATGTATATTTCTCCAATTTCGTTTATCGGTTTCCTTACATGCCACTCCAAATTGGCGTGTAGGTTCATTCCACTGGAATGGTAGATCAGATCACCACCCAGCCCATCAAGGGACGAAAGTGAGGTGGAGGCATATGTTTTGGTGAAATAGAACGAGACTCGTTGCTTGCGCATGGGGCAGCCTATCTACTGCATGATAGGCTTCATACATGTTCTGATTATCACATTGCTGCTGTATGCTCCACATGTGGAAGCATCCTAACACCCTCAGTCATCAAGCCAGAGAAACGGGTTGCACGTGCAGTTAAGGGACAGCTCCCTGTAAGAGCTCCCAAGGTCTCCTGTCATGCTTCTGATACGAATAAAGGGATGGAGACAGTTGCAATGCCCTATGTCTTCAAATACTTAGCTGCTGAGTTGGCAGCTATGAGCATAAAAATGACCCTCCAGCTAAGTATTTGAAGCTTGATCCTGTTCCTAGAGGGAGGATCAGTGTAAAAATTATACACTGAGATGAATAGATCTTAAAGTTTTTTTTATTAGTCTTTTATTCTTTTCTTGGTTGGGTATCATTTCATGCAGAATTATCCACCAAGCACACAAATAATTAGTGAATTTCTTCATCTTTCTATTAAAAAATTGGTACACTTCACAAAGAGCTTTGTCAAAGTATTCCCATAAAAGAGTAATGCAGCGTGAAATTGAATATGTAATGACATGAGCTGTGTATGCATAAGCTTCTAACCTAATTCATATCAGAAGACAACCCATGAAGTTAAAATTGGTGTGGGATGGCTCTGAATCAGAACTTCTGATCAGGCATTATTACCATTATCAAGACTCATTCTTGAAGATGATTGATCAATATGTCTTCTTTTGGAGTTGTACATTGATTCATCTTCACTTGCACTTCTATTTGACATCCTTTCCATTTGCCGTCTTTTGGATCGACTTTTTACTTCCTCTTCCTTCTCATCAACAAATGAAATAAAGGTTTGAAGACGTGCAGATGTCGAGCTGCTGGCAGAAATCACTTCCTCAGTGTAGTGCTTGCTGAATTGGCGCAGCATATTGATGAAATATATAATCAGAGCAAGAAAACAAGCTGAACCACAAAGAACAAAGAGGCCCCAGAAGCTTTTAAGTTGAAGCCTGTCAACTTCTAGCTTTGCGCCTTGTGAGGCACAACTACTGCTTATAAGCCATTTATCATGGATCCTTTGTAGATCCCCATTCTCTGACAGCTTCAAAATAGCAGTAGACATGTCCACTGATAAAGGTGAGTCCCTTGCAAAAGCCTGATTTGAAATGAACATGATAACTATGAGAATCCAGAACATAATATTTGGGCAACCAGTTCTGCTTATGTAACACTTTAGCAATATTAAGGTTGTTTTATCAAAATATCTTGAAGGGTCTGATTTGGTAATATAACATGTCAGGTTATCTGATAAAAGAGTATTACCATGGTCATAGATATAATAGATAAAAGAGAAACTTACAAATCCCCAACCGGTTTTGGTGAATTCTTGACCTACAATACTGAAATCACATCTGCTTGAGAGGAATAGCTCAATGTATGCACGCTCATCAATCACTGCAGCAACACCACCTCTTTGGGGACCGTCTTTCAAGGCTTTAGCATAATCGTCTGGCATAATAAGAGGAACAAGTCTGGACTCGTCAACGTTGAGTTCGCCAGTTAGATAACCCCTGGCAAATGAACCTTGCTGGTAGCCAATAGGGTCATTGCTTGCAAGCAAAGTATCAAGGCCTTTGATGGAGGAAGAAAGCTGTTGCACTGTAAGGATTGAGGTCAAACTTGCAGTGTAGCTTGAATTGATTATAAGAACGACAAACAGCCATATAATTAGTACTAAGCGACCCAGGGTGCTGACTGTATTTTCTCCTGCATAAGATCCCAACAAAAAAAAAGAAAAAAAGAAAAAAGAGAGTAAATAAGCATTACTGAAGCAGCTATTAACCCAAGGTTGCTGGAAAAGCTACTAAATTAGTGCGAATTTACTTACTATGGGCAAAGAACCAAGTTGAAAAGCTAAACCTGCAGAAGGAAAGCACAAATTTTAAGTGATTGTGGGATTTATACCAAGAAGATGCCAATCCTAGTATGGTGAACTCCACAAATAGACATTATGAGAAAGTAACACCAATTGACAGACACTATCTCAATGTC